AACATAAAGCAACTTAACACGTGGTGACATACCACAAGAAAAAAATGGGGAAATATAAGAAAAGAAAACATTGCACAAGACAACATAGAACAGTAAACACTAGACAACATAACACAAAACAGTCCTCAGACAGCAAAACACAAGATAACATAGGTCAAGGTAACATAGCACATAACACCAAACATCAATGCATCACATATCAATATGATGGTGCAGTTAAAGAAATGATTTCACAGCAAGAACACTAATTCCCTCTTTTGAGATAATTTGATTTTTTGGGTGGAGGGGTTTTTAGTGCGAAGTCCCCAAATTTAAACCTGTTACCTGAGTGGACGGCCTACCTGGAAGATTGTTTTCATGCTGACTCTGTGAGAACCCTTTGTTACTATGCTCACTGGTTTAGCGGGAAAGATTGTTTTGGGCGAGCCTGTAAAAAGCCTTTTTACTACTCACTGGTTTAGCTGGAAGTTTTTTTGGGTTTGCTGAGCTCTTAAGAACCCTTTTTTACTATGCTCCTGAGTTAGTGGAGTTGTTTTGGTGCTGAGCTTGTAAGGAACCTTGTTACTTTGAATGAACAGGACTTGGGGTCTGGAACAATCCATAAAATCCTGCTGTTTTCGCCTTTTCCGGGTCAGACTAGGGTCCTTTCAGCAAGAAACTAATTGTTGGTCTTTACGTCGGAAAATTAAGAGGCATAAAACGTTCTCCCGGAAAAAGAGGATCAGCGAATGTATTACCCAAAACTGACGAAAAGCAAAAAATTTTGCAACAGCTTTTTATGCACATTTGTTTTAAACATTTAAAATGCAGTATCGGGCATGGTCCGATTATTTTAAAGCTAATCATCTGGGGGTTTTTGGGGTATTTTTTATATTTAATTCCACAATTCAAGCAGTCACCGTTCCTTAGACAACTCTTTTTAATTGTAATCAAAGTATTTTAATATTTAGTTAATTTCCTTGTCAAAAGTTTCACTAATTTTTCAATTTTTTGGTTTAAGGGCGTAATCCTTACAGGTTGGGTAAAAAACCCAATATCAGCCCCTCTGTATATTTTTATTTTTTTTTTTAGCCATTACAGATTTTTTGTTATGTCCTGTTATATAGTGTTTTAAGTTTACCGTTTTTAAATGTTATTTAACTTTGTTTAATAATTTTTTGATTTATCATTAAGTGTTCTCGAAATTCGAAAATATATTTTCATAAGTCTACAATTTGAAATCCCAAGCGGATAACCCTGATTTATATTATTTTTATATATATATATATATATATAAATTTATTATTATTTTAAATATTATATAACAACACGGGGGACTACCGGGGGATGAACCTGTGTTGTTTTGCCCGTCTCATGTTGAGCGAAAATTCACGGCTCTAACCAGGGGTCCAAAAAAACCCTACAAAGACACGCCCCCAAACAGGGTAGGTTTTGTGATCTTTTGAGATTGTATGGTCCGTGGGTTAGAGCGTCGTGTTTTTAACTCACCTGAGGTAGGCTAAAACAACGCGGGTTCGAGCTCCGGGGGTGCGCAGTGTTTTTATGATTAAATCCCACTTGTCGTGGTTAAATAGGTAAAAATGGTCAAAAGCAAGAATTCATTTAAATTAGTCGTTTCAAAATTTTTCATTTTTACTTTTAAGATATATTTTCCTTTTTTGTTTTGTAAAAGTAAAAATTTTGTACCAAAAGAACCTTAAAAAAATTTACCTAACCTTAAAAAAGGCAAATTTTAAATTTTGCCCCCAAACCACTAATATATTTTAATAAGTTTACAATAAATTTTAAAGATAAAAGCACAAAAATATATTTTTTTTTTTGGTTTGAATGATTTTTGCAAAATTTTTGCTACACAAATTTTCGCTTGCCTTATTTTGGCAAAGAAGAGCGCTGTATTTAAACAAAATCGCAAGTTTTCCCTTTTGCATGATATATTTATTATATTTTAAAATATATAATTAAAAATATAATATAAATATATATATATAATTATAATTTTAAATTACCCTCCATCCCCCTCTTCCCTATTAGCAGGCTTACCCTTCCCAATAGACTCAAATCCTGGGAAAACCGGTTTTTCCCGGGGATCCCTTTTTTAAAGTTGCCCCGTTCTCACCCCACCCGGGCATTGATTTAAAACCATTTCCCCCATCTACATAAACGCTCACAGTCCTAAAATTTGCAATTTTTCTCTCCCTCCCCAAAGTTCCTGGCGCCACCATGTCCCCTTTTTCCTTTCCCCCTCCTAAAATTTTTACACCTTTTTTTTTCATCCCCCTATCCTTTTTCCTCCTTATCACTGCAAAACCCGTTTATCCAAATGTATTAGCATTCATACCCAGGGCTCGTTGCCACTATATATTTTCAATTATGTTTAGTCAAAAAAAGTTTTATTCAAAATTTACAACTACAAATGTTTTACCAAATAACTAAAAAATCAGTAGTTTATTTTTTTAAGGGTTTCCCCAAAATGTCTCATAACGAGGAAATTTTTATAAATTAAATTTTTTCAGTTCTATAATCCGAAAGTTATAAAAATGAACTTTGTCATTCAGTTGAAGTTTTTGTAAGTGGCGCTTTTTTTCCAAAAAATTTTTAGTTTCAATAAATAGGTAAATCTGATTGAAAAAGTAGGAAAGCTATCTGTTGTAAAAGAAAGGGTGGAGATGATATGCTAAATTTTGAATAAAAAGATTGGGGTTTTTAATGTACCCCCATCACACGGTTTTTTTTATTAATGTGAGTGCCGTTGAAAAAAAAAACTCGTCCCCGGGAAAAACTTTTAAAATTTTCGTTTTTTTTTTCTGAGCGAACGTGGGGAGGCTGCATCTTAAGAAAGGGGGGTCGTGAGTGCTTTTTATTTGGTTTTTTCATGAATGTTTCTTAAATACCAGAGGAGTTAATAAGTGAATGGTTTGGGGGGATTTTTAGGTGAGTGGGGTGACCCCCGCCCTACATGTTTTTGAAGACAGGGTGGGACAGTGGGTCACGCACCTGCCCCCTTTACACCTCCTAGTATCGTGATGGTGTACTTTTAACGTAATTACAGATAAAAAGGATAAAATTGCCCCCCGCGATCTGTGAACTTCACCCATCTCTCGATTCTCGAAGTGCCTGAAACTCACAATTTTTTATCCCTTTTAATAATCAATGCTGAATTACTACGCGTTAAAAGCGAGTTTCCCAGCTATAAAAAGTAGTTGTTAATTTTTTAAACAAAGTGTTTACGTGTTAGAGTTTTTTAAACTCTTTTAAAAAAACTGTATGCCCGAAGTAAGGAGGATAAGGTACTGCTGTTAGATCCTCATCGGCAAGGATTAATGTATTAGGCTCTTGAACAAACAGACAAGTTTCAGAACCAGCTTTCAGTGGGACAACGTCTCGTTCTGTGTAGATCTTTATCAAGTCACAAGAGAAGCGTTGTCCCAATAAAAGTTTGTTCTGCAACTTACGTTTTTGTCTTCATACATGTCAATTGTAAAGACAATAATGTTTCTGCTTTTTCCTCACCTCTCACCGACAGCCATGGGCTCTGCTGTTAGATCTCAACAAATCTCGTGCGCATCTGGCATCACTGTGGTGCAGCGAAATTTAACGAGACATCAAAGATAGAAACTCAGGGACGATGTACTGTATATTATCCACCTAGGCACGAGTCACTGTGGGGGATGGAACATCGCCAAAGTCGTTGAGGGTGGGAGATATCATGGACGTCCCTGGCAGTGGGGGACATCAGGAGTGACCTGACATTATCAACACCATCTGCCCTCATTCATCTACTTGCCGCCCCACTGCCTTCTTAGGCCTCCAGCCTTCCTATTATTCTGTCGTCCATTTGAATTTCTGAATGGGAAAAAAACTGCTATGAAACTCCACAAAACCCTTGAGTGTAGATTCACATGTCTTAACACTCAAACAACTTTTCTGAATTGTTAATAAAATTTTCAATATGTATTGCTGAAAGTTCGTCTTAGTGCTCAGTGAAGCATAAATTTTATAGTAATTGTATTTTCCCGAGCAAGTATATGTGCATATATATATTCACTTGAACGTGTTACTTTTTAAACTTAATTGTCTGATAACGTGATAATTTATTTCATTAAACGTCTTGAATCTTTTCGTTTTCGTTATCTAGTTAAGATTTACACCTTTGCTGGGGATGAGTTCAGTCCCGGCAAATATAAAGTTTTAAAACTGTGCGCTGTGGAAACGATCAGAGACAAAATATCACATGGTAGGACGCAACCCAAGATGACAACAAGGTAAAAAAATGGATCTGAGAGAAGATATGCTCAACCTGTTCTCCTAAGTGTATATAAATATAATAATGTTAATAGTATGTAAAAGTTGGTGAAACCTAAAGCTGTGATGAATGGTTTGAAAAACCGACAAGTTGAAGATTGAGACACTTACGCAACATATGGGAATCTTTATTCAGGAAAAGTTTCGCCACTGTGTGGCGAAACTTTTCCTGAATAAAGATTCACATATGTTGCGTAAGTGTCTCAAACCTCAAACCTAAAGCTGTCTTCATGAACATATATATAAGGATTCATTCTGTCTTCTTCACCACATATGCTAAATATTTTCCACTTCCTTCTTTCTTCCTCTCTTTGTCCCGTCCCTGTCCTCCTCTCCTATATATAATGGCTCCCTCATCTTCGTGTGTTAGTGTGATTTGTTAGTGGTCCAAGTATGACCGAAACGTCGTCATAAGCTTTGAGAATTAAAGTAGCCAGTCACACACACAAAGTTCAAGGATAAATGCCCTCGCTGCTTCTCTGTGAAGATTCATAATATCTTATGTGATTAGTGTGTTGACGTTTTAAGGACCACGCAGGTGAGGGCTACTGAGACTATCTCGGTATATCTCCTCACCTCTCCAGGCTGCTCCCACCCATGTCTGCACCCATCTTACCTGCTTCACTTTTCTTCATATCATGTAAAATGAACGTATGCAGCCGCTCTGGCTGTGACACTAACTCTATTATATCTTTCAGGAAGAAGATAACATTGAGACAGATTGGTCAGTAGACTTCCTTGGTAAATTAAAGTGTTGTGTGAGGCACAGCACGGAGGTGGACCAGGGACCAAACATGTCGCCTAGCGAGACTGATGATTCGAGATGTTGGTGATAGTGAGGATCTGAGTCGTGGCTGATATGGGACACCAGACCTGATGCAACTGAGATAACACCTTACCTCCCTCACTAACGTCGGCAAATTAGCAATCCTTCTGCCATCCTCTGGATAGAAATAGTGTTCACTTTGTTTTCGTTTAGCATTTTTAGGCATTGGATTTGTGTTAATTATTATCAGGGCTGATGTATTAAAGACTGGTTTGGAAGGCCTCACCGGCTTCTTAAATACAAAAACAAAATGGATTCTGTACACAATTTTCATAAAACATTTCATCTTGCTTGACTAGTCTCTGTGTGCGATTGTTGTTGTCCTCCCCTGCCATACCACTCGTGGATATAAACCATACTGGTGACAATTTTAGAGACTGTTGCTGTCCACGTCTTGTGTCGACTGGGACCACCCTCGTGGCAAACTTCTTCAACTACTGTCGACTTCAGCCGGCATATAAATATTTACAGCACAATAGAAACTTGTGTTACTCGGATTTAAGTGCTCTCATAAATAATGCTACATTTTGGACTATTTTTTAAATATAAATCGATTTTAGTCGGTATAATTCAGTAATATTCTCTTTCTATTCAGTTTGACAACACTTTCAATACGCGTGCTGAAGAAAAAAAAATAAATTTATGAAGTTAATCTCAGGAGATATTTGCGCATGCATTTTAAATCTTACCTTCAAGCTAAGCCTGGTGTATTTTATCCTCTATTAGGCAGTACTAAATATTTTTACACCTGTTAATGTCATTAGGTTAGATCTAAGCTTCGTCCAGTGTCGCTATACACTCATACTTCTACAACTCACTTGCAACATAGAGCAACAGCTTTGTGACAGTGGTCAGGCGCTCGTGAACGTCCCTTAGCAGTGGACTGGCGCTCGTGAACGTCCCTTAGCAGTGGTCTGGCGCTTGTGAACGTGCCTTAGCAGTGGTCAGGCGCTCGTGAACGTGCCTTAGCAGTGGTCAGGCGCTCGTGAACGTGCCTTAGCAGTGGTCAGGCGCTCGTGAACGTGCCTTAGCAGTGGTCTGGCGCTTGTGAACGTGCCTTAGCAGTGGTCAGGCGCTCGTGAACGTGCTTTAGCAGTGGTCAGGCGCTCGTGAACGTGCCTTAGCAGTGGTCTGGCGCTTGTGAACGTGCCTTAGCAGTGGTCAGGCGCTCGTGAACGTGCCTTAGCAGTGGTCTGGTGCTCGTGAACGTGCCTTAGCAGTGGTCTGGCGCTCGTGAACGTGCCTTAGCAGTGGTCTGGCGCTTGTGAACGTCCCATAGCAGTAATATGGGGCTCTTGAACGTGCCTTGGCAAAGGTCTGGTGCTCGTGAACGTGCCTTGGTAGTGGTCTGGTGCTCGTGAACGTGCCTTGACAGTAGTATGGCGCTCGTTAACGTCCCTTAGCAGTAATCTGGCGCTCGTGAACGTGCCTTGGCAAAGGTCTGGCGTTTGTGAACGTGCCTTGACAGTGGTCAGGCGGTCGTGAACGTGCCTTGGCAGCAACTTGTAAATGTTACTCGTAAAGATTTTTGTGGACACAAATCCTGATGATTTCATTTTGTATTTGCTGGAACTCTGTCAAACTTATTTACGTAATTCCTGATCTACATTGATTAGTTTTTGTGTGTAAACGCTATGGTATTTATTTTCTTAATGTGATAAACCGCTCTTTTCTTACGCAGGATTTAAACCTTGATGTTTTTATCTTAAGCGATAAATTATTACGAAAATAATTCAGTTTTCTGATCTATTTTTTTTTTTTTTTGATACATAAACATAGTACACTAGTTTGACAGTATTATCTGTAGCATACAATATATGTTTTTGCTACGAATGATTAGCATTTGAATGCCTTATTTGTAGGTCTTCTGGGTCTCCCTGTAGCTGGTGGCTCCACCCCCTTGCAGCTTCAGAGTATGGCAAGTAGGTGTCTGCCAATGTGGTGGCACAGGTGCAGTCCCAGGTAAATCTGCTTACCCTCTTTCCAGGGTAGCATAGTGGCTCCATCATGACACTTTTGACTTCCGTCAGACCTCTGTACTTGGGGTTCCCGTTGAGCTGGGCAACGGGCTGTGGCGAGGCTTCTCTTTATGATGTCATTGACCTCCTCATGCCTGGCATACTTCCCTTCTGATGTGTGGCACACGAGACCATGACGTCCGAATTGATCAGCCGTCGCCCTGCCGCAAATACACCTATTTTCGGTGAGAATGGGGGCGGCTAGGCGAAGAGCAACATGAATCCGAATGGCCTGTGGGTCGAGTCGAGAGCCCATAGAGGAATTGGGAACAGCCGAAAGGAAATCTCCTGAATGTGGTGCCTTCACCGCTAGGAGACGAGCTTTGTTCTTTCCTGAAGCATTGGTGAGCACTGTGTTGGCGATTTTTTCCATGATCGGTTTGTCTCAGTGAGAATGTCTGCGCTTTTTGGAAGGAGTTGATCTACTGGAGGAGTCGGCAAGGGTGTCCGACCACACGGCTGCTTCAGTAAACCTGGGGTCTTGAGCTCCTACCGCACCCCTCAAGCGTTCGGGGACAATCTCTTGACTAGTCCACTGGAAGCCAAACACGAGGACAGAAATGCAGGTAATACCTGCGTTGTTTTGCGCGCCCCTATACCTCCCAGTCGCACTGGGAGAGTTGCCTGATCCCATTGTGGTCTTTAAGTAACAGATTCAGTGTCCTTCAAGATTAATCTCAGGAGCGAGTCATATTCGTTGAGTGTTGGGTTGTCTAAAGAGGGAGCGCACCTCAGGAAGTGTCTTGGGATAGTAAGACAACTTGTGAGGAGATACAGGGGATCATGGGCATCAAGATCTCTTATTCTCTCTTCCATTATCTTCAGGTCATTCAGTTTGTCCTTGAGGACTGTGTCGGTGGCCTGATGACCCAGCGATGCTCTCAAGAGGATGATCTTGAAAGTAGTGGTAGTAGAGGCTTCAGGGAGGGTTGTTGGTACAGCTCTGATTATTTCCTGGTTCGTTGTGATGATTTATACTTGGAGGGATTGAGGATGAGTCACAAGGCTTTTCCCTGTGTCTTCACCAGTTGTAGGTCCTCTAGCAGGGACTCAACACCTGCCAGAGTGCCTTAATCCAGGTACCAGATGTTGAGCTCGCTGAGCAGGCTGGAAGTTAGTTCTCTTACCGCCAAGCAGAAAAGTGGAACGAGTGGATCACCCTGCTGAACACCTTCTGATGAAGGAATTTCACGTTCGCCAAACAAAAGAATTGAGGGTTTGCTGTAGCTAGCTGAAATAAAGGAAAAACGACTGGGGAACCGATCCCGAACGGCTGGCAAGACCACATCTCTTCACAATATCAAAAGTTTTTCTAAAGTCAAGTTTGACTATGGCCTTGTCTTCTGGTAGGTCCCTGATGTAGGCCCTTGCTGCATGAGCTACGGCTTCACTGCCTTAAGGGACCCCAAAGCCCAGTTGGTGTGGCTGGAGTAAACTGGCAGCTTCTAGGCGAATGTTTCTTACTGCTGCTTTGGCAACGAGACGGAGAAGAGTGCATAGTGCATCAAAGTGCATAGTGAGGCTCCAAAAAAGAAAGGTTTAATTTCTTCTGGGCGCTTCTTTTTGATTATAATAATAATAAATTTCTTCTGGGATTCGCCCAGCCAGGCAGTTGTTAACGAAGGTTGTTAATTCGGAGAGAAGAATTGATGCAGATGCGCCGAGTAGATTTGCCATCTCTTTGGGGTGTTGTGATCGAATTCCAGTGTAACCTCCTGTAGATCTTGCTGGTAGTGAACACACACACACACACACACACACACCACACACACACACACACACACACACATTATATATATATATATATATATTATATATATATATATATATATATATATATATATATGCAATAAGATCACAGTAAACAGGTGATTTCAGAATATGCAAAACAACCACTCTGAAAGAATAGAGAAATTCCAAGCGCATTCGTGACTACTCACATTATCAAGGAACGCCTAGTTCCTTGATAATGTGAGTAGTCACGAAAGCGCTTGGAATTTCTCTATTCTTTCAGAGTGGTTGTTTTGCATATATATATATATATTTTTTTCAACAAGTCGTCCGTCTCCCACCGAGGCAGGGTGACCCAAAAAGAAAGAAAATCCCCAAAAAGAAAATACTTTCATAATCATTCAACACTTTCACCTCTATAGCTGGAATGGGGATCCTCATCCTCAGAGAAGTCAATAAACGTGCCTCAGGGAAAACTCAAGGTTCTCCCCGGAGCTGTTTGAATATTTTCTTCTACCACCCCCTATATATTTTATATTCTATGTGAACATATAGTAATAAACAGAATACATTTACAGAAAAACACAAACATGCATACAATTTTACAGTGCATGAAAGATCATGAATTTCCTCCAGCTCCTCCGAAGCCGGACGCAAGCCAAGTATGCAGCAAGCATTTCCCCTTTGGATGGTAACGCTGAGGCGCTGGAACATATATATCACAGTAAACAGGTGATTTCATAATATGCATTATTATTATAATCAAAAAGAAGCGCTAAGCCACAAGGGCTATACAGCAAAATATGCAAAACAACCACTGTGAAAGAATAGAGAAATTATCAAGGATAATGTGAGTAGTCACGAAAGCGCTTGGAATTTCTCTATTCTTTCACAGTGGTTGTTTTGCACATATATATATATATATATATATATATATAATATATATATATATATATATATATATTATATATATTTATATATTTATATATATTATATGCCGCCACTCCCTCACACACGTACCAAAACAAAAACACATACGACGAGAGATTATAATATATATATAATTGCACACTTACTGAGGTTTTAATACTTGGTGCTGCGTCCTTTACGCTTAATCACGTCCCTCAGCCGTGTAGGAAGACTCTCACACAAATTCTTGAGGGTTTGGGCCCCTCAAGGAAGGTTCCTTGATGTTGGTGAGGGGCTCTTGATTTAGGGAATTGGATCTGTGCTCCAGTTCTCCGAATTAAGCCTGAATGCCTTCCACATCCCCCCCCCCTCAGGCGCTGTATAATCCTCCGGGTTTAGCGCTTCCCCCTTGATTATAATACTAATAATAATTGAGGGTTTGGGGAAATATATTATTCCATGCCTCATATAGAGCAGCATCCAGCCGCGGAATGGAACTGATATCCTTGCTCAGTAAACTTCGTTTCACTATTGACCAGAAGTTCTCAATAGGGTTTAGGTCTGGGGAATTGCCTGGCCAGTCATTAAAGAACCTCACTTCACAGTCCTTAAGCCACTGAACTACAGATTTCGCGGTATGACCCGGTGCACCATCCTACATAAAAACCGTAGCCCCACACTTGTCAAACGCCTCAGGTAAACTGTCAGACAGTAACTCCAGGTAATTATACTAGTTCATATACTGGTTTTTAGGAAGTACATTGAGTTCACCAACACTGAGCACTGAAACACCCCAAATCATGAGCGAGTCTGCCTGTTTGGTGGTCCCACAGGTGTAGCGTTGGTCTAGTGCGTCACTACCTCTGGACCTGTACACGTGTCCCCCACGATTACAGGTGACGGTGAAGGTTACTTCATCACTCCAAAGTACTTCAGACCACTGTTGAAGATTCCAGTGAAGATATCTTTTTGCATAATCCTAAGTTTCTTCTGTGGCTTGGAGAGGATCGGTTTCTTAACCTGGCGGTGACTACTGTAGCCCAATTCTGA